GAATATAATGCCTCACACACACAAAAAAAAAACGCATGAGATTTGGTTATGATTACCATTATTTATTATTTTGATATTACATAATTTTCTGTATCTAAAAAATATACGACATATTTAGCGACGACTTGCATCATTTTTGTGTCTCTCAGCACAATTGCAAGTGGTTTAATGCGCGCAAAATGTTACTGATTGAAATATCACACATACACGTTTGTAATCAAGCTAAACAGGGAGGGGGGGTCATTTCAAGGTACCGTGAAATATTGGAGTGCCCCCCCCAAATTTTTCAGCTTCCGCCGCCCCTGTAACGGACGACTGAAGATGCAATTATCTTAGGTCGATCAAAACGACATCCTGTGTTTCAAAAGCTATTATCCTATCTCCGTCCCACTTTATCCAGAATGTTTATGGCAAGAATTAAAATGTAATGATTTTCAAAGTTTATGTTATTTTATCAAACATGTTTTCAATAGTTTTGTTTCACACTGCACAATGGCGACCGAAAATTAAAATGAGTTTCAAACATTTTAATGGAAAGCTTTACAAATATAACCTAATCCCCCATCTTCATGGTAAAGGCAACAATAGTATAACCCTCCCTCCATCACCCTGCAATACTTCTCAACCCCGCCCTCAATATGTGAAAACCCACCCTAACCATTTTCTCAAAATAACGTAACACTCCCTACAACTTTGCCTACCCCCCCCCCCTCCCCCAACCCTTATGTGATATAAATAAATGAAAGCCCTCTTAGGTTCGGACGAAACAGTTTGTGTTAGCCTGCGTGCATCGAACGAGCTCGGACGAAACTAAACCGGCAACAGTGGGGTTCGGTTGACGCAAGCTAATCTACGTCGGTATGAATCATCTTACGTCAACGATTTTATTTTCCATTTTCCCCTTTCAAAATTTAATCATGCATTTTGTCGTTTATCTCCAGGCATAAATTTGCGTCAACACAGTTGTTTATTGYCTCATTGTCATATTGYCTCAGTACATTAGGTGTGAAGGMGAGAGTRATGGTAAAGCCGAGCAGACCCTTTTGTAGACAAATTCTCATGTTTTTTAAGTCTTAATTAATTGTCTCAATAAGTTCAAAACATTGAGTGAAAATTCCCARGAAATTTCGTKCAATKTATTTCTAACACCTGAGTTTYTTTTATATTTCTCAATCTCATAKTCTTCGTTTGCAATAGACGTCATAGCCGCCATGTTGGAAGAATTTGACAAAAGATTTTTCAATGAATTCTTTTGTTATATCTTCCAACATGGCGGATATCCCTTTTGTTATTGTGCTCTCTTGGGATTGATTGCAAACCAAGAACTGATCCAGTGTAAAGCCGGAGTGCATGGTATGAAACATTCACAATTTACTACTGGTAAAACCGGGCGGTAAAAAGATACTTTGAGAGTCGTCCACAATTATGTATCATGTTCTTTTTTTCTTTTAACTCAAACTGTATGAGTGAATATCTATGTAATTAAACTTAAGCTTTTATTAATCATGTTTTCAGTGGAAATAAAATTGAACTGATTGAATTGAGCAGATTGTCCTTATGAAAAATCATTCCTTCTTAACCCCGTACAAATGATATCGTCGTACTCTATGTCATTACACTTATTTACTTTGTATTCACAATTTTCTATTAATCATGTTCAGTGGAAATTGAATTGAATTGACTATCTAAAGGATTCATGCAATCATTTTTAGGATATCACTTCCTTATTCAACCAATGTTGTTTATGAGTTAAAAACGAGCCATTTCCTAGTTTGACGCCTTATCGCGAGATTTTATCTCAAAAGGGTGCTCGTACGTGTTATTGGCCGAGATATTGCTCATCATTTTRAAGTAATAATTACTCACAGCATGATTTATTACTGAATACAGTTGCTATTTAGAACATTATTATGATTAACTATCACAGTAACCCTTATCACTACTTTTTAAATGCAAAGCTAACAAAATGGACATACAAAAGAAATGCCACAAATTCCAATGAGAAAAAAGTACTATTTCTTTTCTATTTTCATGTTCTTTTTGAGAAGGGTTCATTCAAGGGTCTTCGATAAAATAAATACTATAATAATTTAATTTGCCAAACGACACAAAAATTTCAGTTGTTAATTTGAAGACAATTCTGTCAAATTCTCAGTTAAATATTTCTGCTGTTTCACAGTAATTCAGGCAGTATAAGTTGATTGTTCCGATTTCACGAAAAAAGTAACATCTGTTTCTAGTATGGAAAACCCGCCAATCACCTACAAGAACAAGTTGCCTGCTAATTGATGTTAACAGCAAATAAACTCTTTGTGGTAAAGCGAAGCATGTTCGTGCTTTACGTATTCTTCAACAAGGCGACAGACTCACTTGACAATAAACTCTATGGAATAATCGAATTAAACCATCACGTAAATAAGACCGGGATTCAACCGCATATTTCTCTGGTAGCTTGTTGAAAAACTGACCGAAGCTTTCTCTTATTTTCAATCGTTTGTCAAGAGAAGTGAGTATATTATTAGCGCAATTAACTGCGAATTTTTGATTGTTATAAACGCATTTTGCTTAGTTTTGAGGATTATATTCTCGATAATTGTCGAGAATAAAATTGATGAACATAGGGAAATGATCCTAAGAAAAAATTCAGTTAAAATACTTCATAACTAATTTTGTAAATAGTTGCTGAAAATTTGAAATGGTTTTATTCAGTAAATACATAAATTCTTTTTTCTAAGCATAGCAAAACGTAGTATTTTTTCCGATGAATACTTAATAGCTAACCCAACACACTCAATCAATTCATCGCCTTTTTTTCGAGACGAAATATATAGTATTTTTTCATACATTGTTTTCATTTCAGATCTGTGCAAAGAACAGTCACTTCAAATCAATATTTTTTTGTTTCTGATATGTTTTCATCCTTCTGGGGCAAATAATTATTTGTGTGGTTAAGACGTTTTTGTCTTCCTTTTAATTTTTAGATAAGAGTTTACGTCTTCGCCGCGAGCATAGCTAAAAATCGTATTTTGTCAACAATTTTCTACAACAGGAATGATAAATACTACTGCAGTTCAAACAATCGCCTTCTTTGATTTTGTTGATGACATAATACTACGTCATCACAAACCTGATTACGTCATGATTATAGACGATTATATATTAAAGAGCTATGCAAATAGATTTTATCAAGATCTAGATTTTATCAAGATCTAGATCTGCTATATTTAGTAGTTCGAGGTGTTAATCTATAATTACAACCATATTCATTCCTCCCCCGTTAGACTTTGATAATTTTTCTATTAAAAGGGATTCCCTGTTGTAACTAATCTATAGATTTCCTTTTTAGTTCACAAGCCTGAGCGAATCTGATGCCTTGGTAAAGATGTCCACTACCTACACTCTTTTCTTCGTTGACTTCAATACTTCAAAAGATTTTTTACGGGATATCAAATTTCCGAGTCGGAGTCAGTTCGAGATCCATGTGTTTCACCGAAAAGATACGAAGTATAACGAAATGATTTCGGCAATACCATCGACATTTTACGAAGATGGACGACCGGTCGCCGTGAGACACTCGTCTCTTACGAACTATCCGAACGCTGTCGAAGATGCCCTCGTCCACTCGACGAGTTCGTACGACTTTTCAAGATTCAAGAAACCGGAAGTATATTTGGTTTCCGGCGAGAATCGACGCTACGAAGAATTAGCGAAGATCTTACGACGGAAGAATCGGGTGTCGGCGTGGATGGTGGATGGCAAGCGAACGAGCCTACTAGACTGGTTAGACACTGCACTTGTTTGTAAAACATGTAGAATTATATTCAATTCTGCAAAAGAAGGAGTTCGACATTTTGACGATATACATATGAAATGAAAACAGGCCTGAATGGAMCGTTTCGGGGAACGACATTCTGCGCATGCCCCGTGAAAAAGCGCGGGAATCGTTCGGTTGCTTGTGCTTGCTCGTACCAACGAAAACAACAGACAAGGAGTCTTAATAATAACTGGATAATTTTATACGTAATACATTTTTTTTGCTTGCATCGTTGTCGATGTTTTTGATGATGATGATGATGCTTACGATGCAGATTGGTGGCAGCTTTGGTCAGTTTTGCATTCTGCTGACCAATTAGCCTCGCTTGTAGATGATAACTATATGAAAACGAAAGAATGTCAAGTTTCACCGCAGTCTTAACAAGCAGCCATTGAAAACTTTATGGAGTCCATCACGCCTTGCCGTCTTGTGTTATCGTCTGTTCATTACTTATAAATCTATCTATAACAATGTATATGATTATCCTATTCTTGCAGTGCGTGTTACGTCATAGCCGCCATGTTGGTTGACGGTATTAGCCTCTCTTGTTAGTTTAACCAACATGGCAGCTGTCTCATGGTTGTTTATATCTCAATGGATTTTGAAGCATGAGTTGCTTACCAAGAAAATTGGAAAAACTAGAAAATGGCAATGACATATATCTTTTATACGAACGTGTCCTTTAAACGGTGCATCGGAGAAGGCCTGAAGCAAGTAAATACGACAATGTATAGATCTTTAATGATCAACAGTAATTTTTTCTTAACTTACATTATTGATCTACACAAAACTGGATCCATCCTCCGAATCCCAGGGGTAAAATTCTGTCCCTCGTTTCTTGCTGACTTCTCCAGCCGGTAAAGTGTTTAATTTTGACTTTGATGAAATTATTTGTATTTAAACAGTACTAACCGGATATAGAACATATATGTTTACCTTATCGGAAAAAAAGTATTCATAAATGTATATAACTAATTATCTTTAGCTCTCTAGTTGTAAGCGGGATTTAGCATACTGCTTAAGGAAGCTAGGGTAGAGTGAAGGCAACCCGTGAAACAAAAAATACTAGTCAACGTGTAATATTCAAATAGACACAAAAGAAAACAATGGAATTAGGGTCTCTTAAAGTGTATTAGAAAACTCATTAATAATTCATGAAGAAAACACAATAGAAATCATGACCATGAAGGTGATTTTATATCTGATAAAGATTCGTCTTCATTTGCATAAACTTTAACTTGGATTTTCTCTATCAAACTTGGTTCATTTCGTAAAAAAATCGGTACACAATGAGAACAAACATCATAAGTTTTCTAAGCCGTTCAATAATCTCGCAGATCGTGGTTTATCGGGTCTAAAACCACTCGGCTGCGCCTCGTGTTTTATACCCGATAAAACACTCCTGCTCGTTTATTAAACATTACTTAGTCCATTTTATACCCGATAAAATACTCCTGCTCGTTTATTAAACATTACTTAGTCTAATATCTAACGGGTTTAATTTAATGACTTCACTCTAAGATGAAAAGTACTTGCCAACTACTTGATCCTAGTACATGAAGATTACTGCAACTGCTTTTTATGATGATCTTTCGCGTCTGCGAGCCGTAGTGAAACCTGAAAAATGTTTTCCGCTTGGAAAAAGAGTGGGTCAAATAAAACCCAGTACATGTGTGAAACTCGAGTATGAAGTATAAAGATTGGTTTTTCTTTAGTCATGCATTTTTTTTGTTTTGCACCAATCCGTTAATCATTCATGGTTCTGACTCAGACCATTCTTCGTTTGCACGTTACGTCATCGCGGCCATGTTGGTACCATTTAACAAAAGATTTCTTATTAGCATCCATTGTTAACGGTACCACAATGACCGCCATGTTTTTGTCTTTTAACTCTCTCTTGGGAATGCTTGCAACCCATCAATTAGCAAAGAAATCACAGCTACAGCAGTTTTCCAGCCTACAAACACAGTATCTATCTTAATGAGTATTAGTTGGGATCTTTCTTGGTGCTGCAAGGCACCTGAAGTATGCATAAAGACAAAAAAACAATAGGCGCCCAAGGATAATGATTTTGGAGCTAAACAATATCCTGCAAAACAAAAACCTTAACTCAGGATACAATAAAGCTTGCTGCACCAAGGAAGGCCCGGTTACGAGGCACTTGTCTTTTATTTAGTTGTGCAGTCGGGCAAGTAGTCTATCCTGATTGGGTGTCTTCACACCCAAGTAAAACTCCAGTTCAAACAAAAAGAAGTTACTTCATCTTGATTTGTACAATAAGACTTAAATTGATAGTGAGCCTGAAAAGTAAGTTTTAAAAAGTGAATTAATATTTGAAGAATAATCCTTTCTCTCCAATTTATAAGCCAATATAACTAGCCTCAATTAATACACACACTGTTGCAAGAAGCAATTATCCCACGTACAGACTCATTTGCACAAGGTTAGCCTCGTATCAGTGTCTAATTACTCGCAAATACCAACAGAAAAGTAAAGAATGCACAACTTCAACAATACAAACATTTTGAAGCTCGACGGACCTTGACTGCAACACGTGAATATTCTGCACAAACTCGAGGCTAACCCTGTGCAAATGAGTTTGTAATCAAGAAACACAGCGGTAATTTGGAACTCGAAAAGGGTCTATTGATGGTTTTTACAGCCACCATGTTCGTATGAAATTAACAAAAGACTCATCGTTAATCTCCTCTGTTATATCATCCAACATGGCCGCCGTGTCTTTTGTTATTTCATTCTCTTGGGAATGGTTGAAAAGCAGCAATTGTAATGCTTACCTTCGCCATTTCGCAAGGCATTCGTAAACCACCTTCAATTTGTTGAGTTTCTGTTGATTTAAACAAAAGATAAACTTCGATGAAAAGACCTGTACTTGCTTTGGCTAAATTCCTTTTTTGGTTCGTGGTTTCACTTGCTTGCTAGTTTGTTAGTTGTTCGCCTCCTTATTTCCTTTCTTGCTTGTCATTGTTCGTTGTTGACTTACCTCCTTTTAACAAAGGGCACCTGATGTCACTTCTACGAGAGCACAAGTCTGACTTGATATCATTTACAACCAAAATATTGTTTTTGTATACCTCAATATGACAAGTAGTGGAGAACACGTCCAACTCTGCAAGCAATTTCAAAAAAAACACAGTCAAAAGTGGACGGAAGGACAGACAGACGGACGGTAGATGGGATGGATAGTTTGATGTATGGATGAGTTGTGGGTAGAGAGGTAAACTTTATTCAAACACGCTTGCCCCGTCAACTAAAGCTGATTTCCACAAGGGGCGTGTGGATAAATATTACAATGAAAAGCTAATACTATTTTATATTCTAATCAATAATAATACAAAAATTGAAATAAAAATAAATAAATATAACTGTTAATAAAGCTACAATAATACATAGTAAAATAAGTAATAATTTAATTTATAAATACTAAGAGATAGATAGTGTGAGTGGCAATTTCAGATTTGAATATGGCCAGTGATTTGCAATTTCTTAAATTTTCTGGTAGGGAGTTYCAGATTTTTGCCCCATCATAAGAAAAACGTCTCTTACCAAAGTCTGTTTTGGGAAGAGGTAACTGCARTGAGGTACTAGAGCCCCTTAAGTCGTAATTTGTAACGTCTTGCTTTTTTTTGTAAATAGATCTACAAGACAGTCAGGGGCCATTCCAGGTGGATGATTTGATTGATGGATTGATGGATGAATAAATAGAGGGATGGATGGTGTATCGGTGGGAATGGCACGGATGAATGGATGGTACTTACTCGGCGTGAATCTAATTACCATTGTCTTTCTTTGTCTGCAATTATATCCCTTTGGAAAATAGGTGACTGAAATCGTAGGATCGAATTCATCTGAAATTACAAAGAAAGAAAAGTTTTTCCGTATACTTAGAGAAATGGGAGAAGCCCTTTATCAGCTAATTCTTCCCTGATCTGACACGAAAAGTTAAAAATAAGAGGAATAACAGATTATTCCAATTCGGGATTACAGACAGTTTTTTCCGAAAAAAAATGTTGTCTGATCTAGGCAAATACTTCTAACTCCATTTCAAATAAAGAAACCAAAAGCATAAGATAGGTAAGCTGAAGATATCATAATAACAGCAATACTTACCACCACAGTAAACTAGCGACTGGTTCTTGATATGAGGATAATTGAATATGTTTGGCAAAGGAAACGATCCTGCTTTGACCCCTGTTTCCCGCACTGATGCTACCAGTAAGAAGGCCATGATTAACAGCATCAACTGCTTCAATATACCATCAAATCTCATCTTCAATCTGACCGCTTACACCGCGAAAAGAAACTATGTTCAACTTTGAGGTGAGTTTTTAGACTATTTCTAAGCTATCGAGTAGCTTACTTTGTATTACTATAGTGGAATGCGGAATATATACGCTTAGCTAGTGCCGAAGTGATGACGTCACGAGCTGAAGACATTTAGGAATTTGGTGACATTATCAGAAACTGCATRTAAAAATTTGTTTCAGCGTGAAATTTTAGATCGATAGAGCGAAAAAACAGCTGAGATATGGGTAATTTAATACAAAAATATGCCCATACATTTCCTTGTTTCGGATCTTGAGCTCTAGAGACCTTGGATCAAAAAAGGTATCGAAACCGTACTTTCGAAACACGACTTTACGCCTTAAAATCTTTGGAATAGTTCCATCATTCGAAAGATGTTTTTGACAATTCTGAAAGTAGTAATGCGGGGATATTCTTTGCTTTTCTTAGTAATAGATACATTATTTGTTTATCAGTTTCCGGCGGGTTTACTGACCTAGTTTTTGTTTTCTGTATCTAATACTATTGCTGGTGCGTCTAGTTTTAGTGAAAAACAACATACGATGATATAAAAAGAAAAAAAGTCAGGGCATTTTCTAAAACATAAACAAAAAACACCTTTTGCTTTGTACGTCTTGGAGTTGTATATTTGAGTCCTCTGGGCTCTCCAGCCCCAAAATATTTCCGTTCCAGATAGTAGATGAAAATGAAAATATGACGTATCAAAAGAAAACTGCTTTGTTACAGTGCAGGGTATATATTTAATTAACTCGTGATGAATCGCAATATTCCGGACATCAGTTGCTGAATTTGATGTTCATCCGACAACCTCAGCTCAAGACGTCAGACTGATACTTGCAAGGTAAGATTCTATGCCAGATATTAATTACCCTATTGTTACTTTATTGTACAAGACAAGTTTACTAGTAGTTTTACAGCTTGGACGTCAGTAGCTCGATGGCCAACTAAACAGGAAATAAATAAGATCATAAGAGACGAATAATATGATGAAGTAGAGTCGGTCGATCGATATAAGGTTCACTGAAACGAACGGATAATTTTTGTAAATTAATCCAGACATAACCGGCAGGGAATTAAATTTTTGACACTATTTTTTGAAGCATTTTTTTTGTGAAGCCCGAAAAGTGCAAGTTGCAAAATTACGATATCGTTTCATTAGTTTCACGAAAAAAAAAGGAAGTTACTACTGTTTTATTTGTATAATCACTATCTAGCCTGGGTGAAAATGATTCAGTTTTTTTGTTTGAAATTCTGCGAGAAGTCTGATATGTCAAAAAAGCGAATGAAACAATACCCAGGATTCGTAAAGGTATGCTCAAAACCCCTAATTCGCATAATAATAATAATAATA